TTGCCTGAATATGAATGTGTGTACACGAAAGTACAAAACAGCTGCTGAGGAATATCTGAAAGATGGAAAGGAACATAATATTACGTACACAAAAATCAAATATGCTATTGATACTTTCCCTGAAATGAAAAGAAGCACCCAGATCTACCCCTGGGTGAGAATTAATGACCTATATGGGAGGAGGGATACGGCAAATGACCTCAGCAGTCGACGCCGTGGGATTAAAAAAAAAAAAAAAAAAAAAAAAAATAAAATAATAATAATATAATAATAAGAATAATATATAATAATTATAATAATAATAATAAAATAATATAATATAATAAGAATATAATAAATATATACAATAATTAAATAATAATAATAATAAGATAATAATAAAATTATAATTTTAATTACAATAATTATATATGGGGACAAGGGCCTGTGAGTAGCCTCCGCGAGGCAAAGCTGCCCAGGTAGGTGTATAGCGTAATACAGACTTATAGTCCATCAGCTTCTGCACCTGCAAGACCGTCCGTTCGTGGTGAAGAACCACATGCTGCTAGAGCTGTCCCTGCTTAAAAAAATCCGCAATCCCAAGGTGTTTGCCGTGCTGAGGGGATGAATGGCACTGCGTTAGTGTGTTCCAAACGGCTGCCTCCGGATACCGGGCGACCTCCGGTTTGAAACTAGCCTTGCTATGATAAGCCTGCTCTTTCATAGTCGACCTCCATATCAGAGCCTACTCGTGGGAATAAGATGAAGCCTACTCAAAACCAAAACATCCAGGAGGCGCCCGCCCTCCAAAAACGGGTAGTGCTGGGGAGCACTTTCCAGTCCTTCAGCAGGCGTGAGGACGGTGGGCGATTGCCCCGGTTCTGCTTGTTAAAAGAGAAAGCGATAATTTTGATAGAGTGAGCCCTTTTGTTATATCAAAGACATTATACGGAATTGTTGGTGAAGTAAAGTTAGTGAGAAAGGTTCGAGAAGGTCTCCTTGTTGAAACTAAATCTACACAGCAGACTATGCGACTATTCCAGGTAAAAAAGTTTGGAGAATTTGATGTGAGTATTGAGGCACACCAGTCCCTCAATACCCGAAAAGGCGTGATTTTTTGCAGAGACTTGCTCAACTGCTCGATTGAGGAGATATTGGATGAACTGAAAGGTGTTGGTGTAATACATGTAAGAAGGCTAAAGAGTAAAAGAAATGGAGAACTGGTTGAAACTCCAAATCACGTGCTGACATTTAGGAAAACTGTCTTACCAAAGGAAATCAGCGTTGCGTTCCATAAATTAAATGTAAGGCCTTATATTCCACCACCTACCAGGTGTTTTAACTGTCAAGCTTTAGGTCACACAGCTGGAAACTGTCAGAAGGAAAAAATATGTCCATGTGGTAATCCTCCACATGAAGGTCCTTGCCCGGAGCCCAAAAAATGCGTAAATTGCGAAGGTCCACATTCAGCAGCTTATATGAATTGTCCAAAACTAAAAGCTGAAGCAGCAATACAGAAAGTAAAGGTAATGGAAAACATAACATATGCAGAAGCAAAAAGAAAAGTAAATATAACCACTCCAAAACCTACTACGTCCTATTCTGCTGCCGTCCAAAAGTCATCAGAAATGAACATTCAGCAGATCATATCAACAATAATTCCTTTTTTTTCCTCTGGCGAGGGAACACGTGTGCATGCAACATGCACACATTCTGGCTCCGCCTACGAGAACCGCCGGGTGGTACCTCCGCGTTCGACAGTCAGAGACCATCTACCACCTACGGACAATCACAACATCCATAGCCGAGAAAAAAATTTCTCCTGGGACGGGACTCGAACCCGCACAGCGCACGGCGACTGATCAGGAGACCGAAGAGTCTACTACTGCGGCCACCGCTGCTGCCGAAAAACATCCTCATATCGAAACTGCAGTTAGAAACGCAATCTCATGTTCTACATCTAAGTGGGACCATTTTAAAGCCCCATCATCAGGGCTAATCTTCCGTAGAGATAGATCTGATTCTGTCTCTACAAATTTATCGGCAGCGTCCGAAAAAAGAAAAAACCAGGGGACTCCACTACAGATGATGATTCATCTGCTATGGACCCCAACTCAAATCCAACAAAAAAACGGGGCAAGCCTAAAAAGACTGCCCCGTGAGTGATGCTATATCACTTATATCAACTCTATTTTAAAAAAAAAACTATTTATTTTATTTATTATGTACCGTGCATCCCTACATACTATTTATTTTATTAATTTGTTGTGAAAGTATTTTATTTACATACATTTAAACTCTTAAAACTGCAATGGAATCAATCATACAGTGGGACTGCAATGGAATTGTCCAACGGTACTGTGAGCTTAGGCTGCTTTTACAAAATCATGATCCAATGTGCTTATGTATTCAAGAGAGCCATCTCAGACCAAATCAAACATACTCTCTTAGAAAATCTAACATCTTGAGAAAAGATGTTGCAGCTGTCGAGCGAGCACATGGAGGAGTTGCGATAATTTTACGTGAGGATGTCTGTTTTGAGCCTTTATGTGTAAACTCAGCACTACAAGTTGTTACAGCTCGAATAACAGTTCCTGTAAAGGTAACTGTCTGTAATATATACCTACCTGATGGAAATTGGCGAATTGGTGACATCGAAAACGTTCTATCTCAGCTCCCAGCACCATTCTTGTTCATTGGAGATTTCAATGCGCATAATCCCCTGTGGGGATCAGGACGTTTAGATCACCGAGGAGAATTGATAGGAAACTTACTAGACAGAGAAGATCTGATGTTGCTAAATACAGGAATGTCCACCCATCTGGCGGCTCGTTCCGGATCTTTCTCTGCGATTGATCTAGCGATCAGTTCAACATCCATAGCCGATCGCCTCCAATGGAGAGCTCTAGATGACATGTATCATAGTGATCATTTTGCTTGTATCACGTCCTTTGACATATCTAGATGTAGTCCCCAAGTACCACAATACTGGTTGATGTCAAAGGCAAACTGGCAGCAATTCGAAGACTACTTATCAATTGTGAGTCCTGTACAAGATAATAACATTGGTATTCATAGTTTTACGCAGCTGATACATCAGGCTGCAGTGAACAGCATTCCGCTTGGTGGTGGATTTCCAAGAGGCCGTCGGTTACCATGGTGGAACTCTGACATATCCGATGCCGTGAGATCAAAAAAGCGTGCACTCAATATTTTTAAGAGGAACTGCACGGTATCAAACATGATATCTTTTAAGAAAGCTAGAGCTAAAGCGCGACGTCTTATTCTAGAAAGCCAGAGAAAATCATGGAAAGAATATGTCTCCACTATTACTACTGAAACGACAGCAAGTGAAGTATGGAATAAAGTCAGAGCCGTGTATGGTAGACAATCAGTTAGGCAAATCACGCATCTGCGGACCTGTAACAGCAACATCCTTAATAGCACCAATGAGGTCTGTAATTTACTAGCAGATAAATTTGCTACCGTCAGCAGCTCGGAAAACTATAGTCGCGAGTTCAGGTCCACCAAAAATGCAAGGGAAGTACTATTAGACTTTTCAACTGACGTATCTTTAGCGTATAATGAGCCATTCCAACTGTTTGAGCTAGAAGAAGCCTTAAAAAAGACAAATCGATCAGCTCCTGGTCCGGATATGGTAAATTATGAGATGATCCGTCATATCCCTCTCCATCTCAAGCTTACTCTCCTCAACATATACAACAGGATATGGCTTGCAGGAATATACCCAAAAGACTGGAAACTTGCAATCGTCATTCCCATTCTTAAACACGGAAAGGATCCACTCTTGCCTGAAAGTTACAGGCCCATAAGTCTTACTTGCTGTCTCGGAAAAATATTAGAGAGAATGGTAAATGAGCGCCTGTCATGGTTTCTTGAAAAAAATGGCTTACTTGTTGATTACCAGGCAGGATTTAGAAAAAAATATGTCTACAGTGGATCAACTTGTCTATGTAGAGAATGTCATCCAATATGGGTTTAAAAACCGTCACCACACAGCAGCTGTGTGTTTTGACATAGAAAAAGCTTTTGATATGGTCCGGAAATATGATGTTCTATACCAACTGCACAACTGGGGCTTTAGAGGAAATCTCCCAAAATTTTTGAAATCCTTCCTTACAGACAGGCGTTTTCAAGTACGTGTAGGAAACACTCTTTCAACAGTCCACACCTTGGAAAATGGAACACCACAGGGATCGACACTTAGCTGTACGCTTTTTGCGATTGCTATTAATAAACTTGCCGAGTCCATAAATCCGGTGGTGGACAGATGTCTATACGTTGATGATTTGTGTATACTATCACCAGGCCCTTCCATTGAAGAAATTTCTGGTAACTTGCAGACAGCAATAAACCAAATAAGCCAAAATGCCATAAACAGTGGTTTCACATTGTCAAATACCAAAACAAGGTGCGTACATTTCTGCAGACTCCAACGTCAGCATGATGGGCCACTACTTTATCTACAAGGCCAATTAATCCCCAATGAAACATCTATGAGATTTTTGGGATTGATATTTGACTCAAAGTTAACGTGGAAATGTCATATTGCAGAATTAATCTATAGGTGTAAGTCAACGTTGAATGTTATTAAGTGTCTGAGTTCTACCCGGTGGGGAGCTGATATAGATGTTCTGATAAAAATATACAAGTCCTTGGTTCTATCAAAAATCGACTACGGATGTATTGTGTACTCATCCGCTCGACGTACTGCACTCAATAAGTTAAATACTATCCAAAACCTAGGACTGCGGTACTGCCTTGGAGCATTCCGTACAACGAGAGCAGCTAGCCTTTGCGCTGAAGCAGCCGTCGAGCCATTAACTCTAAGAAGAAAAAGACTCATACTCTCATACGAAGTCAGTACATCTGCTACGCCACATCATCGGAATTTCTCTCTGTTAAGTACGTATGATGAAACCTATAACAGAAGGCCTACTATCACAAGACCCCTCAGTGTGAGAATTTGTGAAATATCTCGAGAGCTAAATTTGACTAAAATGCCAGTATATCCACTCAAAAATGAAGCCCCATCTTGGCAGATCCCATCTGCACAAGTTAACACGGAGCTAACTAAATTTCACAAAAAGGAAACACCAACAGTACAACTGAGGTCTCATTTTCAAGGTATCCTGGAACAGTACACATGTGCCGAAACCATCTACACAGACGGTTCGAAAACTGCCTCAGGAGTTGGTTGCTCGATTATCATAAACGGGGTTGCCCATTTATGGACTCTCCCACCAATGACATCGATTTTCACAGCCGAACAGTATGCAATTTTACAGGCGCTTAAATACTGCCAGATAGAGTCAAAAAGCAACCTTACTCTTATAGTCAGCGATTCTTTGGGCACCCTACATGGTATGTCAAATCGTTATTCCCGTGATCCGGTAATCTTAGCATGCCTTCAGACATTAAAGGTGTTGATGGATGGCGACAAGAGGGTAGTCTTTATATGGGTACCAGGACACGTAGGTATACTAGGAAATGAACTGGCAGATCAATCTGGAAGGCAGGCTGCTGCCGCAACTGGAATAGACTGTACAATAGTGAAAGCACCAGACATGAAAATGAAAATTGGACAATGCATAACAGAAGCATGGCAAAGACAGTGGAACAATGAACCTACTCAGCTAAGAACAATAAAACCTGATGTAACAAAATGGACACCTAACGTCAAGATGAGTAGAGAAGAAGCCGTCCGGATACATAGACTGCGTTTGGGCCACACAGCATTGACACATTCCTACTTACTCTCGGGCCAAGGCCACCCAAATGCATTTTATGATTTCGTTCTTGCCTGTTTTTTTTCCTTATGATAGTAAATAAATTTCTGTATTGTGCTATCAATCGCTAACTGATTGGTTAAGTGTAAGAGTAGCCAATGCTAAGCTTCGCCAAACAGTTAGTCCAAATAAAGACGACTATTATTATTATATATCGTGTTGTATTAATTTGGAAAGAGGAATTAGACCACCATTTTCTCTTGTTTATTAAAAAAAGGCATGGTACAGTAACACAATTGTCAGTGGCAGAATATAAATGTGCTGTATATTTTATAAACATGACACAATGAAATAGGATCTTACGATATCAGACGGTGACAAAAAAAAAAACAAAATGCAAGTAAGAATATAATCCAAGTCAATGCGACTGCTTAATCCTCTTTGGAAACTGATGCCGGCAATGGAAAAGCTCTGTATGTCATTAAGATCTTTGTTGTTGGTAACTTTTTTGTAAAGCCAGTAGTTTAAATCAGTTTATAACATTAAACAAGCTTTCTCTTTAACTCTTGCTTTGAATTATCTACCTCCTAGTTTGGACAACCTCTATATTCCATTACATTTCTTTGCGAAGTTAACGTGACAATAAATGAACTGTGTGTGTGGGCGAGGAGAAAATTGGCTAGTAGAAGGATGTGAGATACGCTTACACGACATGCATCAAGTTAGTCCTTCTGTTTAAAATGATTTCGTTTTTGAAATGCCAAACGGTATTCATTACTCATTCACTTATGTTTTTTCATTCGATAAATAACTTATTATATTCAAAATTCAGTTTCGCGCCAACAGTATTAAAATTTAACGCCCTCTAGCGAATAGTTCGCTTACCGCTGTCTAGCAAGATCATCGAACTTGTACTGGGTAGAAGGAGCGAGTGTACGATTTGTTTATCGCCAAAACTATGTGGTCATTAGTTAGGATGCAAATATTCGTACATACTGCAGGCCGATCAGGCTTGAGCCGTCAGTTTGACAGTTTTTCACATTGCACATTAAATTCTTACTTTTTGCGGATAGTACAAAAGTCCATGGATTCCGTATCATGCTAGTGTTCCAGAAAGTTGCCGAAAATGGAGGTTCCTGAGGATTGCAAAAAGCTGTTTAAACTGAATAACAGCAAATCTGTTTATCCACAAGTGTTATATATTATGGTAATCGATGTTGCGAAAGGGCATGTACCTCAACATTGGGCTTTTACCTGGAAAGTTGTGAGATAATTTTCGTTTATTCCATTTCGCATCTTGTTGCAATATTGTATACTCAACAACAGCATAAAAAAGTTTTGCACGCCAACATTTGTATTGGAGACACACAAACTTTCTGATATATACTGAAAAGAGCCAACCGATACTTTAATCCAACTTGACTAAAATTCAACCTTATCTACTTTGATGTTCAATTTAAAACTTGTTAGGGAAGGTACTTTGTCGTTAAAAGTAGTAACTTCACGACCTGATTTTATGTTAATGCCACGAGAATCTGCGGAGGAAGCTCAGTACGCCCAAAAAAATGGCTTCAAGTGGATTGACTCTACACTTCCCATGCAACGCCGTTAGCAGTTCGCAAAGGAATATGTTTAGCAGAAGCTAGACGTTCTGAGGAAAAAGTCAACAAATCAAGTCCATACAATTAGTCCATTGATATTTTTTCCATGCCTCGCCTCTCCCAATAATTAACCTGGTCAGACATGACAGTGCGGTCAGGGTATAGGAGACACTGAGAGCGTATAAATATACTAAGAACATTTTTTTTCAAAAATGATCAGGATCCTCGGAAATGTCGAAAAACAAGGTTTAGGCAGTTATTTAATTTTCGTAAAAAATTCAACGAAATCCAAGCGGCGCTCGCTTTGCTTTCAGCAAAAAATCTGCTAGGATCGCGACAACTATTTATTGCAGTCTTTTCGCTTTGCTTTCAGCCAAAAATCTGCTAGCATCGCGACAACTATTTATTGCAGTATCAGGTATTTCGCCATTGTTGCTGCTTGATGGAGAACATGTTCGCCTATGAAAATCAGGAAATAAGTTAATAAATATTTGCTTTCGTTTCTTTGCCTCATTTAATTTATTCCTAGTTATTAACAATACCCATTTTTTTTTTCAAGTCATCGTTGGTTGTCAGAGCGGTCCGTGGGACCTTAGCTCTTGAGTCACAGGGTCAGTTTGTAAGTCTGTCAGGTCTGGTAACCCAGAAACCAGACAATTTTAAGGAAAAAAGGGGAAGGAAAGGAGAGAAGGAAGAACGAGAGCAAAGGGGAAGAAGAGAATCTTTTAGGATATGCAGCGTTTAGGCATTGTTAAAATCGCTTCACAGATTTTGATATGGTCTAAAAATATTTGATTTTTTCTAAAGATTGTGTAAAAATGCTCAAATTTTGGTTGGTCTAAGTTCACGAGTTAATTTTGATTACAGTGCGAGCCGCGGCCTTTTGTGCTTGCGAACTTGCTCGACTGTGTAGTCCACTGAATCACGCAACAGAGGGTTGCTGTGCGATTCCGCTAGGCCATAGCGCCGCTGCGCCTGTTGCTTAATGTAGTCCTTTAGGTAAGGGACATCGAGGTCTCTATGTAGAGTTTCGTTAGAGACATACCATGGGGCATCAGCAATAGTGCGCAACGTCCTGCTTTGCAGAACCTGCAGACTTCGCATGTGTGTTTTAGCAATAAAACACCAAGCCGCACATGCGTATGTCATTATAGAGTCGAATCTTGTTAATCAAACTTAATTTTGACCGTTTACATAATAATGGGTAAAGCTGCCGAAACGTAATTTGGAATTTAGTTTTTAGCGCTTCCACATGGTTCCGCCAAGTCATCCCTTTGTCCAGAATGACACCGAGATACTTAGCGGAGGATTCCCATGGTATACGAAGTCCACTCATTGAAACTTCAGACGGAACGCCGCGACGTCTTTTTGTACAGTAGATTGCCTGCGTTTTCGAATGGTTTATTTTAATTAGCCACCGATCCGCCCAATCTAATACTTCTTCCACCGCACTTTGCAGCCTGTCATGGACTAGGTCACCAGACCACGACTGAGCCACCAATGCAGTATCGTCAGCATAGAGATAGACTTCACAGTTGCTGGGACTAGGGACGTCATGGATGTACAGTGAGTAAAGGATAGGTCCAAGGACCGAACCCTGAGGGACGCCGGCTGTAATCAGCCGTGTTGTCGACAGCACATTGTCAATTTTGATCCGAAATTTCCTACCTTCAAGGAAGGATTTCAGTAGTTTTAGAAGCCAAAAAGGGAAGCCCTTTTGGATTAGTTTATACAAGAGGCCCGCGTGCCACACCTTGTCAAATGCTTTTGAGACATCCAAAAGCAAGATGCCAGTACTTTCGTTAAGGGTGAATCCTCTGGTTACACGTTCCACCAGCCTAACCGCCTGTAGCTCCGTACTATGTTCAGACCGAAAACCGAATTGCACGTCAGGAATCACATGGTGATCTGACGAGAAATTCTCAAGGTGACGTAGAATCACCTTTTCAGCGAGCTTAGACGCAGCTGACAGCAGGCTAATGGGACGATAATCCTGGGGAAATATCGAACCCACCTTCTTTGGAATCATTATAACTTCAGCGGCCTTCCACGCGGATGGGAAGTACTGGATCCTGAGCATGGCATTGACTATTGCCACGAGATAAGTTAAGGACTTCCGCGAAAGCAGCTTCAGCGCCTTATTAGTGATTTGATCCTCCCCAGGTGCTTTACGCACTTTAAGGTCTTTAATATGACCTTGAATCTCTGCTGGTGTGCAATGCGGGATCTCAGGAGATACCGCTGATGTGCTAAGCAAATCTTCGGTTGAAGAAGCTTCTGAAGAAGAATCTTCTGATGAAGAAAAATCACCAACGAATGCGCGACTGTCACTGACGCCGTTGGCCCTAAAATATCTCCTGACAGATCTTACGATGTGTTGCTCCTCGTCGAGGTCATTATCAAGATCATAGTTGGGAGAGAACTGTCTTTCCATGGCATCGGCGAAAACCTCAACCTTCTCCTCTGTCCTGAAGACAATGCCTCCAGGACCGTGAATGTGTGGGATTTGTTCACGCTTTCCGTTTTTGAGCGACTTCGCCACCTTCCAGAGAGGAATGCTTGAGTCAAGCATCCCCGCCAGAAAGTCGTTCCATTGCTCATTGCGGAATTCATGAAGAGCATTTCTTACTTCATGAACAAGATTCGTCGCTCTGCGAATGTCATCAGGATGACAAGACCTTTTCGCTTGCTTAATTGCAGCTCTTTTATCAGAAATTTTCTGACGAATGTCTGCTGGCAGAAAAGGTCTGCCGTGTCGCTGCACGGGAAGTACAGCTGCACGCTGCAGAGTTTGCTAAACAAAACTTGTCCACTCTGCTTGAGCCGCATCTATACCGTTCTCATCATCTATGATCGGTATATTGGGGAACTCTTTGAGGAGCGACTTGTATAGCTCCCAATCAATGCGTTTCCTTGGAGGGATTTCATCCCCCAAGATCGCTCATTAGCCACTTACAAAACGACGGGAAGATGATCGCTTGAGATGTCATACATGATTCGAGAAGTGATGCTGTAGCTACAGTTTTTGGATAATGCCAAATCAAGAAACATTAGGTGCCTGAAGGTGATTAAATGGGTGGTGCGTCGGCTCCTCAGTACTATGTATGAGGTAGCCATTTCGTATCACATGGTTGTACAGTCGGATCCCACTGGTGGAATTCAACCTGGAATGCCATGCTCGATGTTTGCAGTTGAAGTCCCCTGCCACAATAAGTGGACCCGAGTAGTCTAAAAGGACTTCCAGATCCGCCTCTTGCAGCCTGTTACCACACCTGACATACACCGATGTGATTTTTAACGGCACACCTCCCGTCATATTGACCACCACGGAAGCCGCTTCGATGCTCTGCATGTCAGCGTTTGTGCTTCTGTGGTAGTCAATACCGCGTTTCACTAGCACTGCCAAGCCGCCACCCCGTCCAGTCAATCTATCAGCCCGGATAACATCGTAATTCGGGAAAGCTAGACGATCTCCCGGATTAAGTAATGTTTCCTGCAGCAAGGCCACATCTATACTTTCGTCCACAAGAGCTTGATGAAATTCCCGTCTTTTGGGAATGTCCCTTAGACCCAAACAATTCCAAAAAAGAATTTTGATAAATGCAGGCTGTCGTCGATTGTACCTAGCCATTTGCAGGAAAGATCGCCTGCAAAGCCTGTGTTGCGCTAATCAGAGGACCTATGATCTGCTGTAAGGACCTTAGCGCGGTTGCCAGGTCCACATTTTGCGTGTTCGCAGAAGATCCCACAGAGGGGGCAGCCCGGGTTGCATCCCTAGCTGCATCCGCGTAACTTTCATTGCGCCTTTGCGCTATCACTTGCAGATTTTTCTTAGGGGCAAATCTGCAAGTTCGGCTATTCGCTGGATGCCCCCCTCCACAGTTCGCGCACTTTCGTTCCTCTTGTTCTGTTTGAGGGCATAAGTGGGTCATGTGGTCAGAGGCACATTTTAGACATTTAGGTGGTGCAGTGCAGTAAGATTGCGCATGCCCATATTTTTGGCAGCGGTGACACTGCCCGATGAGTCTTGAGTTCTTTTGAACTTCGACTCGGATAGCCAAACCTAGCAGCTCGTGTTCGTTGAACAGCTGCTGAGATTTTTCTATCTTGGGCAGTATGACTACCACCAAAGGCATGGGCACGCCGCCACCGCGTTTCAGGCGAATTATGTGCAGGGGGGAATATCCCCTCTGTTGCAACTCTTCCTTGATCTCAATTTCCGAAAGTGTCGCATGTACTCCTCTGATTACAGCATGAATGTTCCTCTCGGAGGGTAGAGGGAAAGTGTGATGGGGCACCTCTTCCTCCCTGAAGAGACGAATAATCCTGCGGTAATCATCCTCGGACTTGGGAATTATCCTGATTCCTGCATCGACGGCAACCGCGCGTTCGAATTTGATGCCCAAGGAAATAAACTTGTGATTTACGCCTCGCCATCTCGAAGCATCACGAAGAACGATGGGGGTAACACGTACCTTGCGTGGGGGCTGTGCAGTCGTGTCTTCTGGTACCTGAGATGTCGAAGGCGTGGAAGTAACCGATAGATTAGGCACAGGCTGTTTATTCGAGTCGCTTGCAGTTGAATGAGATGTTTCAGACTGCGATTTTGGTGAAGGGAGAGGAGGAAAGCCTGTCGTGTCGGTCTTGTTTCGGCGCGTTTTACGGGGCTTAACCTTGGTAAAACCGTCAGGGAGTGTATCGTCGTCTGTGGAAAGATCGCTTGAATTATTTAACGGTCTCTTAAGAGTGACAGCTTTGTCTTTACTGGGATTTTTGGGAAGTGTTTGGGAAGAATTTGTAATATTTAGATGGGAAGGTACCTGGGTTTTCAGTAGGAGGTCTAATTTAACTGTTAGGTCGGTAATTGTCCGCTGCTGGGCTTCGATGATCATCATCAATCTTTCATTGGTCTTCTTATCATCGTCCTTTTTTGACAGCTCCTGTCGAACCATCTCCAATTCGGCTCTCAGCTCCTCTATGGTCTGCTCCTTCGACTCCATCTCCATTGCCATGGTGGAAGCGCCATTTCCTGACCCCCCTGGGTCAGTTTCCATATTAAACACCTCGGTTATCTCGCTTTTCGTCTAAAAAATTTTCCGGATCGAAATTACGGGACAGCTGCTATCAGTGCCCTATACAGGGCGATTTTTAACAATAGCCATGTAATTTACATAACGACACAGATAGTATTTCTGACTTGCTCTACATGAGCATAGCCTGCACGAATAGCTACTTGAATATAGTTTCCAGACAAAAGGATGTACGCCGATTATTGGTTTGTCAGTGTGGTAGGTACGGTAGTCAACTTAGCCAAAAGTAAGCACTAAAATCACACATTTTGGGCGAAAGACAATGCAGTGTAAACATATACGATTGGCTCCTTCTAATCATATACATACATATCGCGATGTCACTTTATCCGTTATAATGCTGCTATGGTCTGTGAATCCAACAAGGTGAAAGTAACCACTAGAGCCACACTAAAAGACACCCCTGGACTCAAGTCGACAAAACTCAGGCTAAACCTTAGGTTAGGTTAGGTTTCTTGTGAGTGCATCAATAATAATTCCTCCGCTGCGACTCTTTGGTCTATTGTGGTTCACACCTATTTATATTTTCCCCAGTAGCTCCGACCTCATGAGGAAGTCGATTAACTTGTTTGGAGCAATATTCTTCAGGTCTTCTGCTTGGAGTACTACGTCTCCAAGTATGTTGTACCTGTTTCTGGCAATTGCAGGGCATCTGCACAATACGTGCCTGACCGTATCATCTCCCTCCATGCACAGTCTTCCGCCATGTCCAGCCTGCTCATGCGGTGACGCAATTTGCAATGACCAGTGTACAGTCCTACTAGAGCTTTAAGGCTATTCCTGTTCAGCCGTAGCAAAGAGTCCGTTACCTTCTTTGTCAAGATTGGTATAATTGTCTTAGCATGGGTTAACCCTGCTAATCTCTCCCAGTATTGATGGACCTTTCTGTCCGTCTCTGCAGAGAGGATTTGTTTAGCCGTATCGTATGCCATCCCAATCGCTGACTTCATTTCCCTCCCCTATGTTACCGAGAGCTTCTTTGCAATTCTACACTAATTTCGATGTCGAGTAGGTGGATTCAAGTGCTTTAAGTGCGGCTTGACTATCTGAATAGATAATTATAGTTCTGTGTCTCAGTTGCCGTTCTGCCATCATTCTGGCACCCACTTCTATAGCATATAGCTCTGCCTGGAAGATCGATGCCCAGGTTCCTAGGCTAACAGATTTTTTAATATTTAGCTTCGGCACGAAGATACCAGCTCCAACACCTAGCTCGGTCTTGGAGTCATCTGTGTATGCACAGATATCTTTCCTTATCAGGTTAACTTGCTGTTCCCATTCATTCCTGTGTGGAATTGTCACTGTGTAGGGTTTAACATATTTTGTCATCTTTGGCATTATATCAGAAGGCATTCCCAGACTGGGGTGGTTTAGTAAGTTCACCAGCATGCCCGTTTCCTCCATAGTGATATTTTCCATTATACCATTTGCCACATGATGTAGTCTATAAGATGTCCTTCTTGCCTCGCTTTCCAAGCAGTGATGGGCGTTTACGCGTATACATTAATTGTCTACGTCTCGATATATACAATACGTATACAATGAATAGTATGTATACATTGCATATACAATGAATATAATGTAAACAATGATGAATACAATGTAAGTGATAGCATAAGTGAGCTTAGGTTTATTCGCAAATGACAGAAAGTTGGTAAACAGTGAACCGACAATTAAAAAAAATATGGTTGGTCGTTCAAACAACAAAGAAATCGATGAGCTATGGTTCATTTGGTTTTCTTAATTCATTTAAAACTGTATCTTTGTATTGTATATAAATAAATATTATATATTCCTTCATTATTTATAAACTGCTTCCACAGTCAAACCAATAAAGCAATGTTGCAGAATTTGTATCTATCCTGGACTTTCAGTTCCACCTAAAATCGGAGAACCGTTTGGATCGATCTGGAACTGGTCCCAAACAGATTCGATAGAAATATGTATTTGAGCGTAGAAAACAATTCGTTGCAGCAAGTTAAAGTTGTGTTCTGTGGCCTTCATCACTGTTGTGCCAGGCAACGTGGTGCGTGGCGCACTGCACTCTTTCTACTCAAGTGGTGCCCGCTGGTCCCCCTCTCTCTCTCTCTTCCTCGCACATATGGAAATCTAAAAGGGAAAGGGACTTTTGCCAGCATTATATCTCAGCCTCATCCTCGATTACAACATAACTTAGACACTTGTAGTTGCACTATTTCACACAGTCCAGTACAAACGTTTAAAGAAAAGTGACAACGTCGCTTCCCGTCCTCGATGTCATCCACTCTGTATTGCTGAGTGCTCTGTTTTGTACAGTTAGGTATGTACGAACGTGAAAATAATTACCGCGCAAAAAGTGCTTGTGTACGGTTAAAAAATGGGGAAACGGAAGCGAGAAGACAAAGAAACTCTTAGGAAACTCAAGAGGAAAATGAGAAAACTAGAAAGACGTCCGGTTTCCACCTCTGAATCTAGTTCTAGTAAGTACATCCACTAATTTTCAATTTTAGATAAAGTAAACGCGAATCTACTTGGTATTTGTTCTAAAATGCCATCCCCCGGGTTGCCACATGGACCCCAACAATTACAAAAGCGTGTAACAAGTGATAAGGCCAAATTCATTTTACAAAAATGTAATAGTGCCAAGTTTATACTGTCAACCACAGTAAAACATCTCTGTAACACATGTTATACATCAAGAAAGGAAAATTCCTGACCTAGGAAGTTAAACACAAAAATAAAGCCGAAATATTTCTTGCCTTGACAGTGATACACCGTATAGAAATGGATCAGATTATATTATTTTTACATTTATAGATCCACAAAGATAAATTATACATCCAACTCTGTTTAGGAAAGTGATAGAGTGCCGAGTTTGTAGCGCAGCGCGTAAAAACGATTATCTTTAGGCTTTTCGCTGAATAAGCGATGTTGCCGCTGCCGCTAATCAACAGAGAGATATCCGATAATATTACGGGTGTTGAATTTGATTGATTTATTAATAATACAGGGCTATATTTCTATCCTAGGTTCTGATACTTCTGGCTCAGAAGAAAAAACATCAGACAGCGAGTCGGAAGTAGAAATGCATGACCCATAGACCAAAACGTGCAACAGGATGCCAGTCAAATGCCCACTTCAGATATCGCCCCTATGCATCTAGTAATGCTTAATAGAGCAGAAGACAGCAATGAAAGGCCAGAAATTCATGAAGGAATCGCTTGTTTGTGGAAAGAAATCTTAACTGAGGGCATCGATCGAGAAAATAGGAATCAAATGTTGAACAAGTATTCTATAATAAAAAATTGCAAAACTCTTCTAGCACCTTCAGTTAATGGGGAGATCATGGAGGCACTAGAAATTGAGGCACTTAAAAAGACAGATAACTTTTTAAGTAAATTGCAAGACCAGTTAGGCAGCGCTTTAAGCGCACTGGCTGTCCCCTTAGATAGTATGTTTTCTAAACCATCAGAAAACACTAATTCCCTTGTGGAGAATTGACGGATGCTGGAAAATTAGTTGTTGATATGCATCATACCATTTCTCTGCACCGGCGGTTCTTAATTGGACCAAGATTAAATCCAGCGTTGAAGAAGATTGTTGAAGAGTCTAAAATAGATTCCCTGTTGTATGGGGAAGACTTCCCTGAAAGGCTGAAGAACCAGCAGGAGATCCAACGTTCAAGTAAACAGCTAAAAATAGCTAAGCCCAAGGTTACTTATTCAACTAGCACCTTTAAAGGATCCCGGGCAGGTCCTTCACAGGAAAAGAAGTTTTATACAAAAAACTTCCATCGCGCCTCCCAGTCATTGAGGCTGAAGAAAGGGGGGGAGAAACAGATGGAGAGCCAGAAGAAGCAATATCGGACACGATCCAGCCACTACAAGTCCCAATACAGAAAACGCAGATGAACGTGAGTAATGAGTATGCAGGACGGCTTAGATTTTTTGTTAGTGTATGGAAGCAGTTTACAACTAATCCTGTAGTTGTAAAGTGGTTAAACGGATACAAAATACCCTTCAGAAAGACTCCCAAACAAAAATATAGCTTTAAAAAGAGAATCAATAAAAAAGAGGGGAAGTTGTATCAGGATCAAATTAAAACCCTGTTAAAAATTGGAGCGATAGGAAAATCTAGACGTATAAGAGGAGAATTTTTCTTCCTACTTTTTAGCAAGAAAACCCAGTGGATCAATTAGATTCATCCTGAACCTTAAAAAGCTAAATATATGCTATATGACTACAATTGACCTTAAAGACGCTTACTTTTTGATATCCGTTAATAAGAAGTACTTGAGGTTTTTGTTTGGCAGTCAAAGATACGAGTTTAGATGCATCCCATTTGATCTATATACTGCACCTTTTTTGTGGACGAAAATGTTAAGGCCAATCATAAAATATTTTAGAGTAATGGGGATTAAATGTGTAGTATATTTAGACAATATACTTATACTACGAGACTCCTTAACAGAATGTAAACAAAATACAGATTTCATTCAAAATATTTTAACCTTATTATGTTTCTGAATAAATTATGAAAAGAGCTCTTTGATCCCTAAAAAAGAATGCACATTCTTAGGTTTTTTATATAATTCCAAAAAACTAATATTTTCGTTAACAAAGGAAAGAAAACAACAGATTTTTGAATTGGCACGAAAAATGTCTCATAAAACTCCATTGTACAATTAGAGGATTTGCTAAGTTTGTGGGAGTTCTTGTATCAGCCTGTCCGGCAGTAAAATATGGTTGGAAACATACGAAAAATTTAGAAAGATCAAAGTTCCTTGCCCTGAAAATATCAGAGGTTGTTACGACAAAACAATGCAAATTCCACAAACCCTTAAACCCACAATTACTTGGTAGCAAAATACAATTTGGCAATCACAATTAAATATAAAACAAGAACCATATTTATTTGAAATGTTTTGCGATGCATCAAAATCTGGCTGGGGCGGTTATTGTAATAAAGAGAAAGTTCATGGGTTTTGGTCTACAAAGGAAAGGGCATATCACACAAATATACTTGAATTATTGGCCGTTCTTAATGTGTTAAAGTTTTTTACAAAAAACCAAAAGGATTGTTATATACTGTTAAGAGTAAATAATAGTACTGCTGTTTCTTACATAAATCGAATGGGGGGTGCAAAATATAAGAAGCTCAATGAAGTTACAGCATGGATTTGGGACTTGTGCGAACTTAGAGGTTTAGATATTTTCGCCTCATACATTAATACGAAGGATAATATACATGCTGATAGAGAATCTCGTTCCTTGGCTGTAGAGACAGAGTATGAACTGTCAAACAGCTTGTTTGACATTATTTGCAAACATTTTGGAACACCGGAGATATATCTTTTTGCAACCAGCCTAAATGCAAAGTGTTCAGTATATATATCCTGGAAACCAGACCCAAATTCCTTTTTATTAAGGTGCATTTAAATTAGAGCGAACACGAGCGAACGAACGAAGGAACGAATTTGGTCTTGTTCGTTCGTTCGTTAGCTCGCTACCTGTTTGAGGCATTTTTATATGTACGAATATTTGCATTCGCGGATGTTCCGTTGTTCTGTTTTCGAACTCTATATCGGACTCTGTTGACGATATAATTATTAGTGCTAGTTTTATTGTTATGGCAGGTTTGACGAAGAAAAAAGAAAAAAGAGGGAATGGTCTTCAAATTTACTGAAAAAAAGAGACACTGCAGGAGGAATAACAATGTTTACAGACCTTACAAGCGATAATCTGGGACAATTGAATAACTTTTGCAGAATGTCTTCAACTGATTTGGAATATTTGCTAAATTTGATTGGTCCAATCATTTCAAAAACGGACACTACATTCAAAAAGGCAATATTACCAAAAGAGAAGTTATTACTAACGCTCCGTTTTTTGGCAACAGGAGATTGCTATTCGAGTTTAAAGTATTTGTTCAAGATTTCTACATCATCAATTTGTCACATTATTCCAGAAGTGTGCAAAGCCATGATTGATTGTTTACAAGATTGTGTACAGGTAATAGTTAAAAACCTGAGGTGTAAAAAAACACTGGTAATTACTCAAAAGATTCTTTATTGTCATTTTACTTAGGGTTTAAAATTTAAAACAAAAGTAGCAAGTTCGCTCTCATCTGTTTGCTCTTTTTCTGTTTCTGCTGTTGCTGGCTGAGAGCATGAATGAAAATAATGAACCGGTGATGTATGATTTGATGATATATATGATACGTTATTTGAAGTAGGTGAAACAAGTGGTGTAGTAGTGAAAGATGCAGATGATCCCTGTTAGTGGCGTTTACTCCACTGGTGGATAGCATAGATGTTGCATTATGTTCCTGATGGGTTGTAATAGCTTCGTCTACATTTTCATTGTCAGCGTTGATATTCACTGTAACATCTCGTTCTTGAATCTAAAAATAGAATAAATGCTTGTGAATTTTACTAAGTGGAATATTTTTTTTAGATGCCCAAGAATCAAGAGGAATGGTTACAAATTGCTAAAGGTTTTGAAAAGCGATGGAATTTTCCGCATTGCTTAGGATCTATTGACGGAAAACACTGTATTTTGCAAACTCCAGCCAACAGTGGAAGTGACTACTTCAATTATAAGTCGACTTTTAGTATTGTGTTACTTGCACTTGTGGATTATCATAACAATTTTTTATTCGCTGATGTAGGCTGTCAAGGCCGCATCTCAGATGGAGGAGTGTTTGCTCATACATCTTTTTGTAAAACATTGTATGCAGGAACTCTAAAATTACCGGAAGAATCTATTTTACCTGGAAGGACAGAAAACGTGCCTTATGTGTTTGTAGCAGACGATGCATTTGCACTACATAAGCACATTTTAAAACTATATGGTGGAACACACGAAAACAACTCACCTAAACGAACCTTTAATTATAGGCTATCAAGGGCACGGAGAGTTGTGGAAAATGCATTTGGCATCCTCTCTTCTGTCTTTAGAGTTCTCAGAAAACCGATACTTTTGAAAGAAGACAACGCGGCATTGGTGGTTTTAAGTTGTGTATACCTACACAATTTTTTGAGAAGGAGCAAAACATCGCGAAATATATACGCTCCACCAGGAAGTTTTGATATCGAACCTAATACGCGGGTAAATAACGGCAACTGCAGGGAAAACGAAAAAGCAACATCATTAATTCCATTAAAAAATATACCTCGAAAATCTTCAGCAAATGCGGAAAAAGTTAGGCATGAGTTTATGGAGAATTTTGTAACATCCGGACAATCTTCATGGCAAACAAATTACTCATAAATATGTATTTAAGCATAAAAACGTTACTAAAATCTGAATATGCGTATTGTTTCACTCACCTCCTCGGTATTTAATGTAGATTTTGGTGTAAATTTGTCTCTCAAAAAATCCAGAGACTTAAATGCAAACCATGTTGAGTAGTACTGTTCTCCAGCTCCACTTCCTGATGTTTTGGTTGTACTTTCCTTTTGTCTCTCTCTTCGAAATGAGGCAAGCAGAGAGCTTATTTTCTTTTTCACTTCTATGGTGTTGCAATTAATTTCTGTTGCTATTCCTTGCCATGCATCATTTTTCTTTTCTTTAGAAGTTTGTAAAATGATGATTTTGGATTCCACAAACATTCTTTGGTTCTATATAACTCAATGAGTTGTAAAGTTTTATCATTTGTCCATTCCATGTTTTGCAAGACGTAACCACACACAAAGTAGTTAAACAGTACACGTTTAGTAGGCCGAATTTATTCGCGTGTGTTCGCAAGTACAAGAAACGTCGTTTACATTGAGCGCGAACATCCTTTGATGATTCGCTAGTTTACCGACACGCGCTGGAACATGTCCGAACACGAACGAAATCGTTCGGTCTTCTTCGGTTCGCCATTTAAATTGGGCGAGCGTAAGCGAACGAATTCGTTCGTTTGCTCGTGTTCGCACTAATTTAAATGCAGATGATTTCACGGTTAGTTGGAATCAACGGTTTTTTATGCATTTCCCCCATTTCCAATGATCCATAAAGTCCTGGAAAAGCTAATTATGGACAAGGCCTGGTTGTGCCAATTTGGGCAGCACAACCGTGGTACCCCGTGTTTAAAAAACTTATTATAAGCGATCTTATTCAGTTAAAGCCTAGTAAAAATTTACTTTTATCTCCCTTCAGAAAAGGACACCCGCTATGGAGGAAAATTTCCCTGGGGGCGGCGATTTTATCAGAAGAGCATTTAAATTAAAAGAGTATCCAGAGTCAGGCATAGACACGTTGTTAGCGTCATTAGCAAATAACACCTTAAGGCAATACACAAACTGCTATAAGAAGTGGTGGGATTATAGTATAAAAATTCAGAGCAGTCCTTATGATTACGAATTGAAAAAGTTGATCGAATTTTTTAATGGACAGATGAGACCTGGAAGCTCTTATTCTACAATTAATTATTGTAGATCGGCTTTATCTTTAGTGCTTAATATTAATAGAAAAGACCAACCTATTATTAAGAGATACCTTAAGGGAGTTTATAAAATGAACACGCCTAGAGCAAAGTATACATCGACGTGTGATCCTCTAATAGTCTTAGAATTCTTAGCGAAATGGTACCCTTTGGAAGGTTTAAACATACAAAAATTAACATACAAATTAGTTATGCTAGTTAGCTTATTAACGGCCCATAGAATTCAGACTATCTCTCAAATCAGAATATCAAATATAGTATGGTATGCTGATAGAGCTGAGGTCCTCATTACCGATAAGATTAAAACATCTAATCCCAAAATGAAACAGCCTATATTAATATTACCATTTTTTAAAGAAAAACCTGAGCTCTGTGTGGCTACAGTTTTGAAACTCGATATTGAAAAAACAAAGGAGTTAAGAGTACCGGATACCGATTTTTTATTACTTACACATAAAAGGCCACATCATGCCGCTACTTCACAAACCATAAGTAGGTGGTTAAAGGAGGTTATCAAAAATGCTGGAATTGATGTTTCCCTGTACACCAGTTATTCAGTCAGACATGATTCTACATCTGCTGCAAATAGGGCAGGGGTAGACATTTCAGCAATAAGAAGTGCAGCGGGATGGTCCGAAAAATCAGAAACGTTCGCTAATTTTTATAATCGGTCATCAGTAGAGGACCCCACTACCTTCGGGGTGTGATTAAAGGTTATAACATTTAAGCATAGCATTTAATTATCACTACTTGTATTACATGTATTATAATGATTACATATATTTTGATTACAATATGTATAGGTTAGTCAGACAGATTAATTATATTAGGGAAGTAGAAATAAGCGTATAGATACGTGAATTTTTAAGCTCTGCGATTTGAAATGAAATACCTTAGTACTTAAAATTACTATTTTTATAGACATATTATACACATATTATGTAGGTGTTCATATAAATAAATAATGCGTTAATTTATACCCAGATCGTTAAAGTATTCTACAAGTGTCTAAGTTATGTTGTGAACGAGGATGAGGCTGAGATATAATTAATAGATCACCTGACTTACCTGTTAAGGAAGATTGATCGGAATTATATCTCAGACTCATCCGAAGATTACAACCCCCCTCCCACAACCCCAACGATCTGGCAAACAAAACAAGCACTGAGCAATACAGAAGTGGATGACATCGAGGACGGGAAGCGATGTTGTCACATTTCTTTAAACGTTTGTACTGGACTGTGTGAAATAGTGCAACTACAAGTGTCTAAGTTATGTTGTAATCTTCGGATGAGGCTGAGATATAATTCCGATCAATCTTCCTTAACAGGTGAGTCAGTTGATCTATTAATTATATGCAAGTAGTTGAACTATGATTTGCTATTGTATACATTTTATACATTGTATATCGAGACGTATATATACAATGGTGTATTATACATGCTGTATACAATGCGCCCATCACTGCTTCCAAGCATATGTGCAAGGGAGGATAAATTAAGAAGGACCTCCATAGCTGCAGTTGGTGTGGTACGAAAGGCACCCAGTGATCAACAAACAAGCTTCCCTCTGTATTGCGCTCAGTTTGGCTTAGACAGTTCTTTGTGCTGCCTTGTCCCACCAAGCTACAGATCCATAAGTTATCATAGGTCTAATGACCATGGTATAAAACATTTGTTTAGGCTTCATTCTTCAGTTCTTTCCACAGACCCTTTGGCAGTTCCATAACGAGATACTTGCCTTCTTAAGGACTGCTTCCAGATGCGAATTCCAGTTTAGTGTTTTATCTAAGATTATTCCTAGATATTTCGCCTCTTTTGCAAACGGTACATTTTCACCTTGGAGTGTTGGAGGTTCAATACCATCCAGTTTTCTCTTTCTGGTGGAAGGTACGATCATTTTCCATTTTTTGCGGGTTGATTGGCATTCCTAAGGATGTCGTTATAATTCTGCATGTCAACATTCTTCTGATCCAGTTGCAGATCAGATGATTCACATCCCTGGAGGCGATTGATTCTTAGAGGGATTCTGGTAAGGCATTGTTAAATGCTCCCTCTATGTCCAAAAAGGCCGCTATGGAAAACTCCTTGTTTTCCAATGACGCTTTGATGCTCGCAACTAAGTCGTTCAGAGCAAGGTCTGTTGATTTACCAGTCTGATAGGCATATTGATGCACACTTAGAGGATGTCTCTTCAGAGAGCCACCCTTATGTACTCATCAATTACCTTTTCAAGGCCTTTCAGCAGAAATGAGATCAGACTAATTGGTCTGACTGACTTCACCACTGGATCTGTCCGTCCGGGTTTAGGTATATAGACTACCCCAGCCATATGGTATGTGATTACGCGCTAGGCTGGCTCTGTAGGGCGCTATGAGGAATGGCATCAATATATCCAGTCCAACTTGTAGTAGAGCTGGATACATGCCATCCTCTAGTCTTCTCTTTGGTAGAGTCGCTACCAGTTGCAGCAGGGGGGGGTGGCTGCTCTCCGGCGGCGGCGGGGGCTATTGGAAAATTAGTCGCCGTGTCCCGGATGCTGCGACGTATCACCTATACCGAAGGTCCAAGTTTGTCCCTTGCCTGAATCCTCCTGATATAAGAAAACCCAAACACGAGAATCGGTCTGGTTCATATTCCCCAGTATACGCAGCACATCCTCCCTGGAGCGTCGCTTCCCTGGAACTTCGTCCGGAAGATATGCTACTCATATATGGGGTTTGGGAAGATTGCCTCCCTTTACAAACTTTACCTTGGCGCCTTCCCAAGGCTGGAGGTGCTTTGCCACACCTTCAAGCCAGTTTAAGCTTTCTTTGTCCACACAGGTGATTTGTAGCCATCCAGGTCTGTGGGTGCAGTCCTGGAACCTCACCTGTATGTCCCTGTCTCTAATGCGAGATACAGCTACCAAAATTGCCTCTTGAAGAGCGTCGGAGCCTGCCCACCTCTTCTGGACCTCTTCGGTGCCTGTTCGCGAATGCTACCTTCCGATCAGGGCCGCTTGCTGCAGCCAGCAATCGGGACGAATCACGCCCTCCCGGTTCCTGCCTGTTGCGTTGGACGATGGAGGTTTTCCCCCTTGCCCTTCGCTGATTCCCCCAGGATTTTCGCAAGCACCACCTCGTAAGGCATGTCGCTTTTGAGAAGCGCTGTCAGGCGTCTTCTCTGTGCTCCCGGGAATCTTTTCCAAGGCTTTTACGTACAGAAGGCCAAACTTACTCCGGAATTCGGCCCGGTGTTCCGGAGGATCCGTTCACGATGCCGATTGCCCCCGGTATCATTCATCCCTCAGCACGGAGCCTCACACCTTGGATTAGGGGTTTCACCAGAGCCCGATTAGCTGTCCCTCTGCTCCCCAACGAAGAGTTACTCCCCTGGGGGGCAGACGATCCATTGCCCTCTCCACACGGTCGTGTACAGGGAATAAGTCCCCGCACACAAACTCGAGGACGTTCGGGTTGGACTTTGTGGAAAAATCTTAGTGAGTGGTTGTTTTCTTAGTACTGTTAGAATATTTATATAAGGAGTATATTAAGTTAAATAATCAATATTATGATTCTAAGCCTAAATATTATAAGTAAAATACATATTCCGAATATTGTGATAAAAATCATTAACATTACCCAACCATCTATTTTAGAGGAAATAGAAAATATTCGTATACATATAGTTTATGTATTATGATATACTGCCAATAGTAGATCATGTAGAGGTTTATTTAATGGAATTGGTGGTGCATCTAGATTCGTTCGTATGCAGAACAATGAGAAAAGGCTTGGAAAGTCAATTAGAAGTGAAATATTCAGTAAATCACAAGCTTATTGAAATTTTCAACTGTACAATTCAAAATATCTAGGAAAATGAGAATTAATTGAAGTCTAAAACATTGATACTAAACGAAATTGCACAGGCATGTACTAAGTACAAAGATCTTTTTTTTGCTAAAGACATTGTCAATTAACTTTTAATGCGTTATATTTTATTCTTAGTATACTGCAAGATATCGAAATTTTGTTACACTTTGCAAGTTGGGAGCTATACAAGCATCCAAGTATTATCATACCAAGCAAATTACATGAGGAGCTTTTGAAATTATCGTCCCATTATAAGGTCACGCTTCCTGTTGAAGTCAAGTTTGAGAATAGGTTAGATTATGAATCACTTATAAAGGTAAATTATAAATTGATTTATAGTATATCAAATTATTTAACTTTTATCTAAACTGGTGGACAGTTGCTTTGCAACATGGAAAATTTTACCCAAATTCAAATCATGATATTTTCGGAACGGAAACAGATATGGCGCTGCAGTATTCGGGAGATTCTTGACCTACTCTTTGAAAACACGTACAGGGTTAATCGGCATTTTTATTTATTTTCATTTCATTTATCCACTTATACAGAAGCAGATTCTCAATTTTTGAATCTGGAAATTTTTTTATTATCTTCTTGGTCTATCTTGTAAAAAGTGATGTCTCAAATTTTTCGCAAGTTGGCTATAACTCAAATTATCGAACTATAAAGAAAAATTTGTAGATTTATCGCTTAAAACGGGACTTTTTTGGGGTTTCTCTTGAGAATGGGTATTTTTTCTAATACAATCAATAAAATATTGAAGCACTCATTGAACGCTATTTCTTTCCGTGGCGTACAGTAAAAATTTGCTATTTTGGCATTATGGAATTTAAATCGAATTTGTAAATTTTCCTATGCAATTAAACAGCTTAATGAACAAATCGAAATCACTACTTTTAATATAGGGGTCTATTCCAGAGGCGTAACACTAACAGCATTTTTTGGTTTGGTAAGAACTAGAGAGAGAACTTAAAAAAAAATATTTTCAAAAATGCTATAATCTATGATGCTGGTCAACACTGCTATCATATTTTATCTGGAATTTTATATCTTTCTCATTCAGCATTGGCGTACGCATCTTCATTGAAGATGTTTTCCAATAGGTAATAGACTCTATTAAATTTTTGAACAACATCAAACAATTTATTGATTAACATTAACAATATGTAACATTTTAGAAAAGCAAAATTTGAAGACCAGTAACACCCAAATTATTTATTTATGACGAAAACGAACACTTTTTACCAAACAGCAACAGTTATATTAAACAATACTGTTAGTACCTTGTAGGGTCACCCCGCACATCGATCCCTTGGGACCGTACTAAAAATTTTAGCCGAGACCACACATGCTCAATTATGTTTGGGTCTGGAGACTTTGATGGCACAGGATATAATGTAACATTCTGTTTTGCCGAAAAGTTTATAAGCATTCGAGGTGTGTGCGGCCATCGATGAAGACAAAATTCTGCCCAAAATCTTGTACAAAAGGTACAACAATATTGTTCAAAACGTTGTCCCTATAAACTGCAGCATTAACTGTCTTGTTTGAAATGAAAAGTTCGGTTTTGCCGTTGTAAAAAAACGACCTTCTTCCAATAATCTCATACAATTCTTTCGTTCTTTTGAAAAAGACGAGGCATTTTTGAGATAATAAAATTATACTGTCAAGTCTACAGTCAATATTATTGTTACTTAGCAATTGTATGTTCGAGATGTAGGTAGCTAGGACGAAATCGGAGAAACATCCTATTAGCATGGAGAGGGTAATCAAAAAAAAAATAACGAAAAAAATACGAGGCTGAGCCGAAAGACATTTATTGCGTGAAGTTAGAACTTCGATAATTTGAGTTATAGCCAACTTTCGAGAAATTTAGAACATCACTTTTTTAGGATAGTCCAAAGAACAAAAAGATGCATAGAAAAACACGACTTCCTTTGATCACCCTGTATAAGTGGATGAATAAAAGAAATATCCCGGTCAAATCCTGCATGTGATCTCAAAGAGTTGGTCAAGAACATTCCGAATACCGCAGCTCGGTATCTCTTTCCGTTCCGAAAATATCGAGATTTGAATTTTTTGGGTAACATTTTTCATGTTGCAAAGCAACGGTCCACCAGTTTATTCAATCCAATTGACTTCGAGGATACATTTGAATTACATTACTGGCACCCATATACTACCAAAGCAATATATACCACTGTCCTCATAAAGTCCAATCTAGCACGAATATACATATATATATAACCCAAAGAATTGCCCTGTTGACAAAGTTAAGATATGCGAAAACCACATTGAACTTGTACCAGAGATTAATCAGTACCTAGTCGTATTTCCAATACAAGAAAAGTTAGAGTTCTACTGTCATCAGCAAATGGAGACAAAATTCTTGCCAGGCATATCCTTGACACTACAAAAGAATTGTACAGTCCTGTTTAGAAACGAGGCAATTAGATTTTTGGACAAAAGATATTCCAACCAAGTCATTTAGCTTAACTGAACCTGAAGAATCAATTTTACCAAACACAGTTCTTGGATCATTATTTTGTACAATTTACTCACAATTCTAGGTATTCTACTTTCTTAACGAGAGTTCAAGAAGAATAAGAATGCAGGACACATCCTTGTCCCGTCCCAAAGAGGTCACCTAGAAAGGATGCAGAAGAAATCGAGCTACCTTCCGGGAGAAGCTTCATTCTCGGAATGAGGGGCTATGAGGCTGCCCTGTATCAAACTAGTACATAGAAGATGCAAGCCAGCAACTTTACGCAACTCCCGGCAACCGCGAGAAGTGGAATATGATATTTTCCTTTGATTTATCATTCAAACGAACATTGTGTAATTCAGTCAGAATCTAGCCTTCATATGATTCACTACGTGTAATTTCGGGAATAGAATATTTTTTTAAGGCACTTACGCAATCTCGAAATATCAGGTATATCCAAATTAATACCAGGTGTAATCAACATCAGGGATGGCGGCCCTGGCGTTATTTTAGGTGATTAAAGGGTGACGGAAGCTGTGCAGTATTATCTAAGCCGACAACGGCATTTTGAAATAATTATTTTGGCATAATAAGCTATTATCCATACTATAAAAGAGACGTACTTCCACTTGTGTGATTCTATTATTGCAGATTTAATGTAAGATGTATTCGTCACAATAATGTGCAAAAATCTTCATTGTGAATTGAGCAATGGAATTGCTAGATCTTCTGCTGCAGAGTATCGAAACCGATACGCCAGAGGAACAAATCTCTCACGCTATGGCACCGAGAAATGTCTAGGAGATTAGATGGAATAGGAGAGCCGGGACTCGAAGTCTCTCTATCCGCAAAGCAATGGTGTTCCAAAGTATGATCGGGCTTCTCCACACAATGCACTTCAGGCTAACGATTTCTTAGATCGTACCTATTCAGGACGATGGATTAATGGGATAATAATAATAATAATACGCGTCTTTATTTATCCACAACTACATTGTAGGATCTATTTACAGTCAACCCAAATATGCCTAGCGTACAATTTATGGTACACCGTAAACAAGTCGCGACTTGCAACGTGCTTATTTTGACGCGGTAATAGCACAGCTGTATTCAGTAAGCCTTAGTAAATCGTAACGTGCGGTTGTGTATTATCGTTGTATTGAGATTTTTTTGCGATTTTGTGAAGAAGTTTTTATTTTTTGTGACATGGCTGAATATGGAATACGATTTACCAAGTAAGTAAATATATGGTCTTTACGTAAATAAAAAAATGTTTTGATTGCTTCTAAAAATAAGACACACATCTTTTTTTCCAGTTATAATGCCAAATTAATTATGTTATTATTTCGGATTCATAATTGCGTCATTATATTTGCGTGTGCAAAATATTGTACTCAAGGAAAATACATGCCTGTTTTATTTTGTAGGGGCTTTGCTCTGGAGGAAGCCCTTGCTATGCTGGAGGGTAATGAAGATGTAGTAGTAAATGTGGATAATATCACATTGATGCCTTCAATCAATGCTTGTGACATTCTCACAGACGAGGACTCCGGCGATGAGAATGTAATGTCAGCTGATAATCTACCGGGTTCACAATTACAAGCACCTGCTGAGATAAACACACCTCATGAAAAATTTAGTATATCTTCATCTGATTCCGAAGATAATATTCCATTGTCTGAATTGACTAAAAAAATAAAAAATAAAAAGCTAAAGAAACGAAAAACGTACAAATGAGTGAAGAAGGATCTACCACCAGAAGTTCCAGGAAACTTGGTAGAAATTCTTGAACAAAATAATTCTTCAAAGACTCTACTTGAATGGTTTTCACTTTTCTTTTGATGGCGAACTTATAACGCACATAACAACTGAAACAAATAGATATGCCAGGCAAAATAATCGCCAACAAGAGGTGCAAGAGTATGAAATAAGGGCATTTATTGGAACACTAATATTGAGTGGTTATGTCGATGTACCACGTAGAAGAATGTTCTGTGAACGTGAAAGAGATGCTAATAATCAAATCGTCACAGAAGCGCTTACACGAGATAAATTTGAGTATATTATGTCAAATTTCCATTTAGTAGATAACTACAATTTACAGGAGATAAGGAAATAAGTTTGCAAAAGTTAGACCTTTATTTGCGAGCCTGAATCAAACATTTATGGAACATGAAATTTTTCCAGAAATGCATAGTGTAGATGAGGCAATAGTTCCTTATTTTGGGAAACACTCAGGCAAACAGTTCATTCACGGAAAACCTATACGATACGGCTATAAATTATTAATGGGTTGGATCATCAAGACTGGGCTATGTTTACTGGGTTGAACCTTACCAAGGGTCGTCAACCAACATTAGTAAGAATTATGCAGATTTGGGCGTTGGTGCTGGTGTGGTATTAGAGTATTCTGATGCACTGAGGAGAAAATGGCCAAATGAAAAATTTCATTTAGTTTTCGACAATGTTTTCACTTCTCTCCCTCTTATGGTAAAATTGACAGAAAAACATTTCTTTGCGACTGGTGCTGCTAGAGAAAATCGCTTACACGGCGTCCAATCCAGAGATTCTAAAATTATGAATAGGGAAAAAGAGGTAGTTACGATTACAGAATTTCCGATACAAACATAATTGCAGTGAAATGGGATGACAATAATTTAGTAACACTCTGTTCAAATGTCGCAGGATTGCAACCAATTCGCTTTGTAAAGCGATACTCTCAAAGGGATACAAAAAGTATTCAGGTAAGAAACACAGTCTGCAAGAAAATCAATGTTTTCAAAAACGCTTTTGATTTCAGGTAGAACAGCCTCATCTTGTAAATGTACCTGTATACAACGCAAATATGGGCGGCGTTGATCATTGTGAATATTGGTCTGTATCGCATTTACATCCGTGGTAAAAAGTGGTATTTTTCATTGATCAGTCACTGTATTGATATGGCTGTTCATAATTCCTGGCAACTTTATAGATTACACGGAGGACATATGGATCAATTATTATTTAGACGGCGGCTTGCCACAGCCTTGAATCAACAAAACAGGAAACCGCCATCTTATTCTAGCGGATGTCCTTCGGCTAATGAATATATAGATATTCGTTATGATCGTTTAGATCATTTTGCGATACCACAAGAAAAGTCAACTGGATGTGGCTTATGTCATGATAGAGCAAAAACAAGGTGCTCTAAGTGCAATGTAGGGATGCATGTAAAATGTTTTTCGTCCTTCTACACTAAACCTTAATATTCACCTTTGTGCCTAGTGTACCATATTTTGTACGGCATTTTTTTACACTTTTTCCTAAAATAAAATTTCTAAAAAATAATAAACTTGTTTAATATATGCTTCATATAGAACGAATTTGCAGAGAACATACTTTATTATAATTTATTTGACCCGTAGGCATATCTGGGTTAAGGGTGTACCGTCCCTATCTCCTACTTGGATTTCAAAAAGTTGATAACTACGGTTATATGATCAAATAATACAGCACTTCCTCTGTAATACCTGTGTTACCCAAAATTATGTCAAAGTTGGATATTTTAGACCTAGAAATGATTCAAGTCTGACGACTCATGGTCCCCTAATTGCTTTCTCATCCTATTCAGCAGGTAGAAGTTTGACAATTGCAGTTATAGCAGTAAGTTCACTAAATGAGAATTTAAGATTAAAAAAAAGTAATGGAATAATTAAATCAATCAACGAAGAAGACCAGACATATAAATTATACAAGATAAGTCCAGAATAAGAAACAAGAACATTATATTAAAAAGGATGTATTTTAAAAATGCATCAACCTGTCGATTGTTGATCAAATTGCTCTGATGTAATTTGTAGATATATGAACAATATGCTAATTTATCACTTGACTGTAATCTAATATCCAGAATTGTGATGATATCAAAACTTTATTGACTAGTTTGGCTATCAGATCCCAGAAGATGGTTCGTGATGGCTTTTTTGAATGCAACTAGACCTTTGCTTTTGTGAAAGTCATTAAGAACATTATGCACATTCACGGCATTGAAACATACTAGTTTTATGTTGAAGTCGGTTTTATATCTCCGATTTCTGGTATTAAAATCATCACATGGAACCAACTTTTGTAAATGATAAGTAGGTATTCTATTGTATCTGATTCTTTGGACTAATATTAGCATATGATACGCAAAAAGCTGGTCAACCTTCTACAATGTCAACTCATTGATCTTTGGCATGACTGAACTTTCGCAGAGCATAAACAAACCTGCAGCAATTTTTTTAATTCTTTGTATTTAAGCTCTGGTCACGTAATCAAGACAAGGTAAGAAAACAACAATTGAATAAGCTACTAACGACACTACCAAAGCTTCAGTTAGTTTTTTGAATGTCTTGCAGATCAAAATATGTTGATTAGAATGTAAAACCTTTAAGCGCATGAATGTTAATCTAGATACATTTTAGCATGTTGCTTAAACCTCAACTCTGAATCCATAATGACTCCACGATAGCAATATACGTATAACAAGTTGCTCCCCCTCCTCAGCATCACCGTATCGTCCTTTCTTGAGATGAACCATAGCGCATTTGTCTATTCCGAGTTCCATACCAATAGCACGACTATACTCCTGCACTACCCTGAGCGACTGCTGTAAATAGCATTGTCTAGAGGAGTAAAGTTTTAGGTCATCCATATAAAAGAGGCGGGTGATGTTGTGCCTCCGGTTGATGGGCGTGCCACAGCTGTATCCTCTCACATTTCTCAGAAAAACAGCGAACGGGAGCAGCGAAATGCGGAAAAGCAGGAGTCTTGAAGAGTTCCCTTGGGAGACTCATCTTCTGAATGATAGCAACTCTGTCTGAACTTTGGTTTCACCAGACGTGATTGTGAACCCAGTCTTCCAGAGTGGCATCAGTTGTTTAATGCATCGCACTATTTGATCATCTACCGCAAGGCATTCCAACAGATGCACAATGAGTTCACGAGACGTCATGTCTAATGCTTTACGATAGTCACTACAAGCCATCGAAAGGTTCCCCACGTTGTTAATACAACGCTAATGCGCATCGAAGCTCTTGGTTTCCTTTGCGGTCCATTACTTGCCGCACACACAACGCATTTTCTGCACCAATCTTTTACGTCCGCCTTGCTATTGACCCAGTAAAATATTTCCCTCACCTTTCCCAATGTTTTTGTTACTCCGAGATGGCCTCCTGACGCACCAGAATAGATTTCTTCTAGCAGCTCCGGGATCCGACATCTGAAGACGATTTGTCTTCTTTCCTCTTTGCCGTCGTGGTCCACCATTTTACGCAGTAAGAGTAAGTCGTCCATAACTAGAGAACTCCATTGTGTTCAATATGATTTTATGGTATGAGAATACTTGGCACCTTCTTCCCAGGCTGGTTTCCGTTGTTCTTTC